GGAATTTTCTACCCTGATAGTCACATATCTAACTTTTTGTATTTGTATCCCCATTCTTGACATAGAAGACAATCAATGTTTTTTATTTGCAGGGTCATTGTGAGGATGAAATGAGGCAACATTTGTAACACACACACACATCCTTTATGATCTCTGGGACATTTGACACTGTCTGACATTGTTGACTCCCCTCTCCTCCTGGATGCTCTCTCCTCTGCATTTTTGTGACATTATTCTCTCCTAGTTTTCCTTCTTCCTGTCGGAACATTCCTTTTCAATTTCCTTTGCTGACTCATCATCTAATATCATGCCCCATAACTGAAGGTAGGCTCCAAGGTTCTGTTCTGAGCCCTCTTCTCTTTTCTCTTTCTTGGTAAACTCATCCACTACAATGGGTTGAATCATCATCCTTATGTAGATGACTCTTAGATCAATATATCTAGCCCCACTCTGTTTCCTGATCTTCTGTTCCACATAACTTCTGGTGGACATTTCAAAATTAGTGTTTAGGAAACACCACAATTTCATGTTGAAAATGGAACTCATTAACTTCCCCACCCACTCACACCCCAAAGAAACCCATCCCTCTACCAGACTTCTCCCTTACTTTTGAAAGCACCACCATCTTCTAGTCTCCCTGATTTTTCGTCCTGGTGTTATCCTTGACTACTCACTCTTTTTAATCCCACATATGGGAGGCAACTAGGTGGTGCAGTGGATAGAGCACTGGTCCTGGAGTCAGGAGGACCTGAGTTCAAATTTGACCTCAGACACTTGATACTGGTTGTGTGACCCTGGGCAAGTCACTTAACCCTGATTGCCTCACACAAAAAAATGCAAAAAAAAAAAAACCAAAACCCCAAAACCCAAGATATCCAATCAGTTGTCAAATCATGCTATTTCTAGCTCAACATCTCTCAATATGACCCTTCTTCTTGACTCTCCTCACCTCTGCATCATAGATTTCCTCTCTTGCTTTAAGAAACAACTCAAGAACTACCTTTCACATGAAATCTTTCCTGATCCTCCCAACTGCTGGTGCCCTAACCAACTACTTTATGCACTTGTATTGATTCAATCTATACTTATATAGGCACATATTGTCTCCCCTAAAAGATGTAAGGTCCTTGAGGACAGGAATTATCTCATTCTTTATATTGGTATTCCCAACATCTAATATAGAATCTGCCATTAGCATAGTGTAGGTGCTTAAGGAATACTTGTTGATTGATAGATTGCTACTTATTGCTGCCCCTGTGGCCTTGAATAACTCACATCACCTCCCTAAGCCTGTTTCCTCATCTGTAAAATGATGGGGTTAGACTAGACGACCCAGAGGTCCCTTCCACCTCCAAATTCATCCTCCAATGACAGAATCATATTTCCCATTGCCCAGCCCATACTTTTGACTTTTTTAAAATTCTGTAGGATTTGCCAGAACTTACATTGTCAAAGTTTTTGAGAAATTAGAGTCATCTTCATGCCAAAATGGGCCATTGAAGCAGGACTATAGTAGTAGGTTAAATAGATTATTTTCAAGATCTAGAATAAATTCTGAGATTCTGCTATGACTACATAATATAACAGAACCAAAAGTGTTTATTGACCTACCTAATTGATTACCCATGGTTAATCAATGGTAGTGTGAGGGCTAGAACCCAATCCCCATGTCTATTGGTTCCTTTTCACTAGATGGCAGTGCCATCCCTAGCATCATACTCTAATGAAAGTTAGGTGGCATAGTAAAGAGAATAGTAGAATGCCGGATTGGGAGTCAGGAAGAACTGACCATTTCACTTCTATTAGACTCAGTTTCCTTATCTATAAATTGAGGGTAATAATAGTTCCTACTTCATAGGGATGTTGTAAAGATCAAGTGAAATAATATAACCAAAATGCTTTCCAAATCTCAAAGTACTAGAATCAATAGCAACCCCATAAAAGCAGTTTTGAAAGACTTAAGAACTTTGATCGATGCAGTGATCAACTATCATTTCAGTGAACCCAAAATGAAGAATGCTGCTCCTGCCCCCTGACAGAGGGTTGATAGACTAAATATACAGAATTGGACACGCATTTTTAGACATGTTGCTTGATTACGCGTACCTGTTGCAAAGGTTTTGTTTTTCTTTTTCTTTTGTGTATAGGGTGGGGACAAAGGTGAGAAGGGGAGAGAATAAAGAATTGTTCACTGAAAAAAAATTTAACTCCAAAAAGTGCTATGTAAATATTAATTATTATTATTAAACTTTATGCAAGGTTCTCCAAATTATTGTAAAACTCCCCTCTGTGTGTCTAAAAGAGACCAGAAATGCAAAGAGAGTGTCAAACTTTCTTCTTGCTAAAAACTCTTTTGGGGAAGGAACATTTCTCCTTTCTACTTATAATATCTTCATATTTACTGTCAGCTGACAAGACAAGTCTTTCACAGAAGTCAAAAGTCAACTAATCTGTCATCAACTACTCTAATGAACATAGATAAAACCTTGTTATCTTAAGCAGGGATCCTCAGTATGTTTTCTTTCTCAAGCTCATAGGGACGTTGAATCATCTTGCACGTCTTCCTTTTTTGGTTTCCTTTAAAGTATGTCTCCATAGCTGGCCGGACCAGTTTGACTGCTGTTCTCTAGCTCTGCCACAACTCTATGGATGGGATTAGAACCAGAGATTTAGAGCCGGAAGGGAACTTGGAGACCATCTGGTCCAATCCCCTGTTAACAGATAAGGAAACTGAGAAAGGAAGCGACCTGCTCAAACTCACACAGATAGCAAGTGGTAGAGTTTGCTTTTGCATCCAGGTTCACTGCCCCCCTCCCCCCACAAACACACTACCTTTGACTGAACTAAATGATCTTTCCAGTTCAAGTGCATGAATATTTTTATTCATTCTCTCATATTCTGTCTCTCTCACTCTCTCTTCCCTACCTTTCTTTTGGCTTTTTCTCTTTATCTCTATGTCTCTCCCTCCTTCTCTCTGTCTCATATATACATATATAAAATATGTATAAATCTATATTACATGAATACATGCATATATACAAACATAAAATGTATACTTATTTCTAGTCACATTAGAAAATCATAAGTCTATTTCCTTTAAAAATCATGATTGATCTGTGTTTCTTTTGAAGTCTTTGATGTATGTCAAATTAGAAAGTTCTGTGGTTTATCCTATTAATTCTGAGGTAAGACAGCATGATATAGCTGAGCATGACTTGCCTTGGAGTCAAGAAAAGTTCTGCCCCTCTAACTACAAAAGGGGGACATTTAGTCCAAGGCAGTGGGGGACTTGGGAAGCAGACTACAGAGTACATAGAAAAGGGAAATGGCAAATTTAATTTGGGGAACACCAAATAATACAATTTGGCTATAACCCAGAATATGTGAAAGGAATTAATAACATAGAGCAGAAAATGTAGACTGAAGCCAGACTGTGTAGCCCTTAAATGCTAAACTAGATTCAAGACCATAGGGAGCCACTGAAAATTTTTGAAGAGTAAGGGAGTAACGATATGGTCAGACCTGTGCTTTCTTTGAAAAGATTCTCTTGATGGCTATGAGAAGAAGGATTTGGAAATGTGGAAAGACTTGAATCAGAAAGACCAGTTAGGATAGAATAGTTCAGAGGAGAGGTGATGAGGGCCTGAGGTAAGGTGGTGACCATATGAATGGAAAGAGGAGATGAATACAAAACAAGGTTGTGGAGATGGGATTAACTGAATTTGGTAAAGTCTTATTGACAAAATGTGAGTAACTATCATTCAGTGGCTGTTCCAAACCATCTCTTCTCTCTTCAAGCCTCCAATTTCACTCTTCCCCACTCTCTTTCAGCAGAAGACTTTGCTTCCTCCTATTTTAATGAGGCAATGGAAGGCAAGTCATGAGCTTCTTCTTTTCCCATATTGTGTATCTCAAAACCCTTCCTCCCATTTTCTCCCCCTTTGCTCAAGCATCTGAATAAGAGATGCCCCTTCACCTTTCAAAGGCCAACTCATCTACTTGTTCCATTAATCTTAGCATCTTTCCATCCTCTCTGGGGATATTTAGCCCCTTCATTGACTCCTCCTTTCTCTCTCCTCTTCAGATATATTTTTATTTGTTGGCTTTTCCCCCACCACCTACAAATATGCCTCAGGTTTTGTTTAAACCTTCACCTTACCTTGCTATCATATCAAGCTATATTGCCCTACACTCACTTCCTTACCATTCACCTCTTGCCTTCTTGCAACTTGGCTTCTGATTCCATCACTCAACTGAAACCCGGCTTATCAAGGATATTGATGATCTCTTGACTGCCGAGTCCTATGGCCTTTTCTCTGTCCTCATCCTCTTTTATCTATCTGTTGCTTTTAATACTCTCAACCAATCTTTCTCCCTAGGTCTTTGCTTTGCCTTTTTTTGTCCCTCAAGCCTAGAAAATCTCTTCCATTCCTCTCCTATGAAACCAAAAGGAATGGATATTTATTATAAGCACCTTCGAATAATGTCCTTTTTTATACTTCTCTCCTACCATTTCTTGCTATCCTCATATGCATATATCTTATTAACTTATAATATTCTTGTGCCCTTTTTGTCTATTTTGTTCTTTAGAAAACTGCTTGCTTATGCCATCTTCTTATTATAGAAAATCTAGAAAGACAATAAGGTATGTGGGCCTCCTTGTGAGCTGGCTTCTCTATTCTTGGGATATAAACCCACTTCCTACCTGGAAAGTCAGCTTTACAAGAATAAGGATAGAGCCTTACCAAGGTTAGTTTTTCAGAGTAAACATACATAGCACAGGGAGGTGTTTTGTTTTGTTTTGTTTTTTTATTTCACCCAAACATGAGCATATCAGAATACAGCCATTGGTCCCAAGGCTCTGTTTTCATAGCGTAATGTTTTCATTGTATGATCTAGGATCATATATTTAGGGATGGAAGGAACCTTGGAAGCTATCTAGTCCAACTCCTTCATCTTACAAATGAGGAAACTGAGGCCCAAGAAGTTAAGTGACTTACCCAAGTGTACATAAGTAGTAATCCTCAGAAATTATATGTAATTTGTAATGAGAATGGATTCTCTTCAGTTCTTTTAGCAAGTTTTTTTTTTTTTTGATCTTGCTGCTTACCGTTCTTGTGTCCCTTTGATTTGGAAGCATCCTGAACAAATTGAAGAGATGCGTATTAAATGATAATAGTATGGTGAGATTTTAGAGGATTCCTCCAAAGAGTAGCCGTGAGTATCTTAATATACAGGTGCAACAAGGTCTCCAGAGGATTACTATCTAAGGGACCAATCCTTCACTCTATGTTCAATGACTTAGATGAAGGACAATGACAGATACATAAAGCTAAAAGGGAGAGTTAAGGTATTTAGTGGTAGAGTCAAGATCCAAGGACATCTTGGTAAGCTACAATGATAGGTTTAACCTAATAAGATGAAACTAAATAGTTTTAACTCTAAAGTTACTTAGGCAAAAAAAAATTTCATAAAGATAAAATGAATGAGGTATGACAAGATAACAGTTTCTATGAAAAATATCAGGAGATTTTAGTGGACTGCAAGGTCACCATGAGTCAACAACATGATATAGAAACACTCACTATTAATATGAGCTTAGACTACTGCAAGAGAGGCATGATGATAACTCAAGTGAGTGCAATGATAATCCTGCTGGATAAGTTTCATTTTTCACAGATTTTATATAGCACTTTTATGTTTGCAAAGTACTTTACATACATCATCTCATTTGATCCTTACCTCAACCTTGTAAGGTAGACACTAAAGGTATTATTAGGTAAGGAGAATGAGGCTCAGAAAGCTAAAGTGACTTGGCCAGAACCACAGTTAGAAAAAAGAAGAGGCAAGAGTTGATCCCAGCCTCTCCTGGTCCTAAGTCCAACACTCTTTCTCCAACCTCACACTATCTTTCTATTCAAGCCTAAGCACCACATTTTAGGAATGATGGTGACAAACTGGAGTGTTTCCAAAGGTGGGTGGTCATATATCAAGGGATGTTCATAGCACATGGATTCATTTGAAGAAAAATGAGGCAGAAACGAGTCTTCTCTTACTTGAGAGGTTATGTGAAAGATGGTTTTGATTTCTTCTGTTTGGCCAGAAAAGGGTGGAACTAGCAGCAAGCCCTTGAAGAAGGGTGGGTTTCGGCTCCAACTGAGGAAAAACTTGAAAAGCTCTCCTTAAAATGGAATAGGCCACTTTGAAAGGTAGTAGGGTCCCTCCTCATTAGAAGACTTCAAGCGGAGGCTGGATGACCAGTTATTTTGAATATATTAAAAATGATTCTTAGTTAAATAAGTGTTGAATTATATATACTCTACAGAAAAAGGGCAAGACCAACTCATCTTGGAGTAACCTTGATACTTAGAACTGATATAACAAGCACATTATTATGAAATTACAGACATGATTATAAGGTCAAATGTCTCCAAATTTAAAGCATAGATAAAGCATTTAAGAATGTTAACACAAAAATTACAAAATGTTATAAAATCCTTGACATTCTTTTTCACTATTGCTTAATCCATTCTCCCCTTAAATCTATAAAAATGTAAAGTTGTGCCATGAAGAATCAAAACAGTGTTCACAGCAATTGGATTCTGTTTCCACTCTGTTTTGACCTCTATGACTGGGCTTTGGTCTAATTTTAGACAGGTCTGAAGGATTGTCCAACTCTGAGATTCTGCAGTTCTCTAAGAACTGAACCCATGTTATCCCAAAATTAACATCTAGTAAGTCAAAGTTCAGGCCGTGAGGCAAAGGTGGCTTTTGGACAAGAACCTTTCACTGAGCACTATGGAGATATTAGGAACTTGGCCTGTTACTGGCATTCCTTAGGGCATACAGATTTAGGAGTCTTCAAAGCGGTCTAGAATAGCTTAATTTTGGGATTCAGATGAATTCTCCTCCCCAGCTAATTAAGAGAGAATAATTTTCCTATCATACCATTTCTTTGTTCTCCTACAGATTGGGCTACAATCTGATTGGATGACCTTAGTTCCTGTCTCTGCCTCCCCAGTCTACTATACGTTGGCAAAGACATCTCTGATAGCAGTTCTTTACCGCAGAGGCCCCACCTGACTGAGGGGTTATCTCTAAGAATTTGGGGTGGGAGAAGGTAGAGTAAATAGCCTGTCATCCTAATTAACCCCTCCTCAAAGTCACTAATTAGAGCCCATTCACAGAGATATAGAAGCTGGTAAGGACTTTAAATATGCTGTTTATTCTGTCTTCACAGTTTGATGTTTTCATTGTAAGTTCAAGAATCATAGATTTAGAGACGGAAGAAACCTGGGAGACCATCTATTCCAAGGGTAGAGAACCTGTGGCCTCAAAGCCACACATAGCCCTCTAGGTCCTCAAGTGTGGCCCTTTGACAGAATCCAAACTTCAGATTCAGTCAAAGGGCTGCACTTGAGGACCTAGAGAGCCACGTGTGGCCTCGAAGCCAGAGGTTTCCCACCCTCATCTAGTCCAACTCCCTCATCTTACAGGTAAGGAAACTATGACCCATGATGTTAAATGACTTAACCAAGTTCATACAAGTAGTAAGCCTTGGAAGCAAAATATCTTTTTTAATGGTTAGAGGAACCATTTCTCTGAACACTCTAGAGCAGATCACCTTGGAGATGCAAAGGAGGTTAGGAGGCTTCCACAGAGAGAACTTCTGAGAGCCAAAAACCTTGAAGGGTCACAAGGGAAAATGCGGATGGATAGGCTAAGATACAATGGCTTTCCTGAAGGCTATGGCTAGAGAGGGGAAGGGCCCATTTTACAAAGTTCCACTTGACTGCCCTGAATTTAAACTCACACAACTACTAGCAAAACCTAGTTTCATGCACTAAATCAATAGAAAACCGGTTCAAGTCCTGACTTTGATACTTCCCATCTATACTCCCTGGACTTTAGCAACTTCCAGTATAAAATGAAGGAGTTGGGCTAGACAACCTCTAAGCTCTCCTCTATCTCTAGATTCTATGACCCCATGCTCTATTAAATAATATCTTAGAAATACAACAGGTTTAAGGCATAATTTACACTTTGAATTCATCAAATATCATCATTTAAATTCATTTAATCTTGTTGCCTTGTCTCAAAATGGTTGAAGGCAGAAACTGCCTTCATTTGGTCACCATTTGGTCTGGATGGAGCATAATACATCAGACCATCAATACGTATGGCCTGGAGAGGGTGTGGGGAGGGGTACAGGGTGCCTCTGTTTCTGTCAGTGTCTTACATTTGCTAAGTGTACAGACTAAGTTCATGCTTGAATTTTCCCATTAACTCATCCTCCTGGGAATCTTTAAGCCTCCCTTCTTCAGTGACAGAGCTGAGCCGTTCTCTGGAGCAGTTATCTCTGGGGTATAATCTGTTTGTTTATCGACATGGGTGTTTACATCATTCTTCACTAAAACTTGGTGTTCCAGTGACCTGGAAGCCCAGCAATGAAAGACCGAGGTCACAGAGCCTCGGAGGTAGCCCAAAGTGGGGAGCCCATATTCCAGGAGCTCAGTCTGAAAAGCAGATAAAATTAAATGGAGAATCGGCAATTTTGGAGAAGTTGATGCCCATCATCTTCTCCTAACATGAACTGTTTGTACTAAATCATCTAGGGATTAGAACAATTATTCATTCTAGCTGAAATAATACCTAAGACTTTGATATAATCTAACACAAACCTGGGGGCAGCTTGGTGGCACACTGGTTAGAATACTAGGCCTGAAGTCAGGAAGACTCCTCTTCCTAAGTCCAAATCCAGTCTCGCACACTCACTAGCTGTGTGACCCTGGGCAAGTCGCTCAGGCTCATCTGTCTTAGTTTCTCATCTGTAAAGTGAGCTGGGGAAGGAAATGGCAAACCACTCCAGGATCTTTGCCAAGAACACCCCAAAATGGGGTCACGAAGAGTCGGGCATGACTGAAACAATTCAACAACAACAAAATTACTTATTGGAACCTTTCTCTATCAATATTCTGGGGTTCATTTGCTGGAAAGAGCTTATAAGGTCCTTCAGGTACATAAGAAACTCAAATCCATTTCAACATGTTCCAAATGAAACATGACTCAAACTGAATTCTATTCTCTGATACATAAACTCTAAGCACAGGTCCCATGTTTCTATTTATTTTTCCCTGTAGTATATTTTATTAGTATTCATAAAGTTAACCATTGGATTACAAAATTAATTTTAATTATGTTCCTAACAAAGAGAGGGAGACAGCAGAGAATATGATCTTTTTTTTTTAATCTAAAGCTTTGGTTTGCAATATTTGCATTTTATTTCATTTCAAATATCTTTATGCTTTTGAACATATTATTTGCATTAATTTGTAGGTTCTAACTTGCAGGCTTTCCAATCACTTAAAATTTCAGTGACTAGAAAGATTTAATCTAATGTAACTCACAATAAGTTGATACATACATACACACAGACACACAGACACACACACAGACACACACACACACACACACACACACACACACACACAAACTGTGGGAGAAAGCCTGAATTTATACCCACAAGGTTGTTGACTGTTTGCAATTTGGAGTTTTGTGTATCAGAATTGAAGTCTATATCTTTGCTTCTTCATTCATGACCCATAGGTCTGTCAGTCTTTCTAGCAGTTAACCATGGTTCCTTCCACAATTCCATGAGCAACCACGTTGATCCTTAATCAATGGATTCAGTGACCTTCACTGAAAATTCCCTCTATCTACCAGAAATAATAAGACCTCATATTTTTACAGGATAAATTCTAAATCTTTTATTTTTCTTCCAATTATATCTCAATTCAAAAAAGGAACAAAACAACAAATATGAAAAAGGTATAACAGATGGAATCTCAGGGACAGACATTCAGTGACAGGAAAGGTTCCAAGAAGACTATACAATTGGGAATTAAAAAAAAAAAAACCTAGAGGATGGATTCAAAGACAAAGAAGTAGTCCAAGGTAGTTTCCTTTGTATGGGGATGGTATGTGCCTTTCTAGAGACAGGATAGCTTTCCTAGGGGTGGGGGTAGGGTAGGGGTGAAGAGAAAAAGGGAAGGGGGATCTAGAAGGAATTGAGGTGGGTAAGAAGAAAAATACCAAGGTGTGAGCTGCTCTGGCTTAGGAAATGAGAACTGTCCAATTCAGAAATTAGGAGCGGATTAGGGGGTGGGGTGGGTGTGGCTCCAAGGAAGAAGGGGGTGGTTCTGAGGTAATAAAAATGTTCTTCATATGACTTGAAGGATAAAATGGCATGCAAAGAAAGAAATTTGCCTCAAAGAGGGAAATAAATCCCCAGCATCAGACAACATTCCCATTCTGGAGAAGAATCCTACCTCAGACACTTACTGTATGACCCTGGGCAACTTCTCTTAGCCTCAGTTTCCTCTTTTGTAAAATAGGAATGATTATGGTCCTTACCTCACATGGTTGTTATAAGGATCCAAACAAATAATAGATGTAAAGTGCTTTGTAAACCTTAAAGCACTATATAGATAGTAGTTATTATTATTATTAAATATGCCAATCACTGTGACCTTGGACAAGTCACTTTTCCTTGAAGGGTCTTAGTTTCTTCATCCATAAAATGAAGGACTCGGTAATAATTACTGACTTTTTATTCAGTAATTTAAATGCATCGCCTCATTTGATCCTCCCTACAACACTGTAACATGGGTACCACAAGTATTATTTTCCTTATTTTATAGCTGAGGAAGCCAAGGTCCACAGAGGTCAAGTGATTTGTCCAGTCACACAGCTAGTAAGCATTCGATGTGGGATTTGAAGCCAGGGCTCTTTGGGTTCCGAATTCAACTCTCTTCTCTACTAATCCTGCTGCCTCTCTAGCTGACTGCTAAGGCTTCTTACAGCTTTCATACTTTTGACCCAAGGCCTCTAAGACAGATTTCTACAATGGGATACTCATCCCCAGTCAGTTGCTGGTCCATTTCCCACATCCCTTTCCTCTTACTACACAATACGCCCTTTGCTCAGTCTCAACCTCACCCAACCTGCCTAAAAATCTAGGAACTTGGCAAACGGTTCATTTCCTCACAATAATAAGAGTTTTTGAAATGGGCATCTGCTTCATGCTTCAGATCGTGACTCCAAAAATTGTTCACATCAGAGGCAAATCCTCACAATTTCCTCCTGAAGTAACAAGTACAATTCTCCCTGTTTCAAAAGGGTAGGGAGCTGACACACAGGGAAATTAAAGGAATTGCCCTAAGACATAAATCAAGTCACTTAGAGAACCAGTCTGACAGAGATAATGCCTCTATTTTTCACCCCATCAGCTATGCTACATCTCTTTATGATCTCATGACGCCACACTCATTGGGAAGAGGACTACAACTTAAGGAAGCCTCAGAATTAAACTGAAAGGTTTTCACCTCTCCAACCAAATGGTTTTGATTCATATCAGCTTGTCCTTCCCCCAATGCCCAGTTTCCCCTTCCCACATGCCTCCTCCCTTCTTACACAGACAAACTGCACCTTACTGGCAGTCTTTCAATGTAGAGGAATACAGAGGCCATCTAATCCAACCCCCTCATTTTACAGCTGAGGAAATTGAGGCCCAGAGAGAGCAAGAGACTTACCTGAGGTAGCCTAGGCGGTAAGTATGTTGGAGAACCAGGATCCAAACTTCGGTCCTCTGACTCTAAATCCAGGACCCTTTCCACTCAACCCTTGTACTCAAGAAGTAAGGGTTCTTTTTTACATGACTTCAAAATCACATGAACTGAACAACATTCAGACATATGAACGTAATCACCAAAGTCTGCCCTAAGAGCAATTTCCCCACTATTTAAAAAGCACGCACTCCTATGGTATAAAAATGCAACCTTCCACTGCCTTCATTGGTCCCCCATTCACAGCTGCTGTTAGCAGCAGATCAACAGCTATCATATCAAAACAACTGGGCTTTACTGGATTTTCTTTCCTGATATCTTTTTTTTCTTTTTCTTGCGTTTTTTTATTTACCTTTTTGCTTTTTCCAGGTGAAGCTTACAGCTTGGCCAGTGAGGCTGAGGTTGCATCCATCATGAGGACATATAAATCTTTTGGCTTCTTGCCCCTCCTCCTTAGAGGCTTTCCGTTTGTGTCTTGGTGATTCAGCCTCAGTCACCTGGAGAAGAAGTACAGCACTTATAAGGAAATCCCTTTGAGAGCCAACTTTGGGTTGCTTTCCATCCTGTAAAAACTCTCGCAGAACACAAATTGATTTCCAGAGATGCACCTAATTCTCATTTCCCTTTTCAGTGACAAATGTGGGAAGATTTCTCAGACTCAATTCTGCCCCTGAAGATTTTAAAGAAAGATCTCCTTTTAAAAAAAAAAAAAAGAGAGAGAGATAGCTCTACTTAGAAAAAATGTGGTTCCCCCTTCCAAATGCCAGTGTGTTTGGGTTCTTCTGGGTGGCTCCTGATCAGAGGGGAAAGAAGGGCATCTAGCAGGGCACATCCCACTTTCAGGTTTTCTTGTTCATCCAAAGCTGAGCCATTCATTTTATGCGGTACTTAGGTAATTCCTGAGCACATCTCCTTAAAAGAACAGGAGAGTGAGTCCAAGGAAGGAGCTTAATTTGCAGTTACAGTTTAAAAGCTTGGTGGGGAAAAACTGCAGACGCCCTCACCCCTGGCACACCTTGCACCGAGAGCTGATTCAGGTGGGTGGAGGGAGGGATGTGGCTGCATTGGGGTAAAGAGGAAAGAAAGCAAGGGAAAGCCTTAACTTACAGAATCTAGAAGCAGAGAATGGAGCAACACTCAGCTCACTGGGGCCCAACAGCCCCAGTCTCCAATGAGAACCAGAGTATTACTGGTAGACTGTATTTTTGATACTTAGATTTCAACGAAAAGTCTTTAGGGCTGGCAAGCCATTGGATGGATGATCTGATTAAGAAGTAGACTTTCCCCATCTCCTAGATTACAGAATCAGGAAGAAACATTTTAAGGGCCTCTTATGTGCCAGGCAAAGACTAGCTTAAAATGACAATTGCCACTATCCTGTTGTTGGCCTGAAACAGGCATTCACTCCCACCCACAGAATGAAAAAGAGCCAGATATCTGTCAAGTCTTTCTCTGACCAGACCAGGTGATGTTTCTAATACTGAATCAACCACACCTGCTGCCTCCACTCACCTGGAAACCTGATATCCATTCATTAAAACAGCTCAGCCTCCTCTTTGATGACTCCCAGTTTCATCCCCATAAGCCCAAAGGAAGAAAGGATTGGACCTAGAGAGCTTGGTTCAGCCCTTGTTTCAGTGATTGTCTGGTTTGGGGATAAAGCTGACAGAAGAAAGCCTTGTATAAATTTCAGGCACCACCCTGTTATATCTCCAAATACAGCCCAGGTGAAGAGAATGCAGGTCATAAGATTTAAAACTAGAAGGATTCTCAGAGGACAATTTAATCCAACCCCCTCATCTTACAGATGAAGAAACTGAGAAGTGACTTGTCAAAGACCATCCAGGCAGTAAATAGCAAAACTGTTCCAAACCCAGGTTTTCTAACTCCAAAACTACTGTTTTCCCCTTCCCACGTGCCTCCTCCCTTCTTACACAGACAAACTGCACCTTACTGGCAGTCTTCAGATACTGCTTGAAAAGCCTTTGTCCAACCCTACCCCCCACTACCCCCCCAAAGCTGAAAAATTCCCAAAGGAAGACAATGACTTTCATTCCAAAGTGCAAGAGAGAGCTTATAATTTGAATGATCCTAGAAAAAAATGAGACAAAAAAATCATAAGCAAGTGTAAACAGCTGATACAAAATCTTCCAATAGAACTTTTGATTGAGGGAGTCAAAGAGAAAGAATTTTAGAAGCTGTTAGAGTAGAGAAGAAGAAAGACACCAATGAAAGGAATGTTTTTCTACCTATCCTTATCACCTATTACAGTGTCCTGCATACCATAGGTGTGCAATAAGAGATTCTTTAAGACATAGTCAATTCTAGAGCTGGTCTTCTAACAACAAACAGGCTGGTTTCTACACACAAGGCATCACTTGTGCAAATACACACACAAACACACACACACTAAGGATATAAAGATACAATGTAATGATTTGAAGATCATTGGTACTTAGGTGGCACAGTGGATAGAGTTCTGGGCCTAGAGTCAGGAAGACCTGAGTTCAAATCCAGCCTCAGACACTTACTAGCTGTGTGACCCTGGGCAAGTCACTTTACTCCAGTTTCCAAAACTATAGAATGGGGATAATAACAGCACCTACCTCACAGGGTTGTTGAGAGGTTCAAATGAGACGATAATTGTACAAAGCACTTAGCCCTGTGCCTAGTACATTGTAAACACTACACAAATGCTTATTCCCTCCCCCTTCCCTCCTTTTCATTGTTGCCTCTGATGCTCCCTAACAAGAGCCTTCTATAAAATATGGTGTCCACAAGTAGAATGTGAAACTCTGGGGGTCACAAATGGAAGCAAAGTGCAGTGGGAATCACCTCCCTAGATGTAAACACTTTCATGGATCATACCACTGACTCATATTGAACTTGTGGTCTTCTTCTTTTTTTTTTTTTTTTCCAGTGAAGCAATTGGGGTTAAATGACTTGCCCAGAGTCACACAGCTAGTGAGTGTTATGGTTCTGAGGCCGGATTCATACTCAGGTCCTCCTGACTCCAGGGCCAGTGCTCTATCACTGTGCCACCTAGCTGCCCCTGAACTTGTGGTCTTCTAAGAGCGCATTCTTGCAGGCCACAGCTGTTGCACACAAACCCTAGAAAAACAAGATAATGTATTTTTGTAAAACAGTTAAGTGCTGTGGAAACTTGAGCTACTACCATTATCAATGACCATGGAATGGGGTCTGGCCCATGCCCAAAGCACCTTCGATGCTATTCATTCATATGCAGGAGATGATTTCCTGGGGAGTCGAGATGAAGTGAATGGAAGTGCCTTGGAGAAAGTGGTCTTTGAAACATATATAGATATTCTGTAACTGGTTCTGGTCAGCTAGCCATGTGGTTTGGAGAATACTCATTTGATTGGATGTATGGCCAAATGGAAGTGTATGGCCAAAACTAAGGGTGCCTTCAAAAGGCCTTTCAAAGGGAGATAAGGAGAGTCCATAAGGGAAAGCCATTGAGTGGAGTATAACCTCAGGTAGCCATTTGAGAGCGGTAGAGCTGTTGGAGTGAGGTCAAACAAAGTTTAAAGGTTTTCTGGGGCCCATAAACAAAGGGGAGCCAAATTCTTTTTGGGTCAAGGGGCAAAGGTCTCTGCTTGGGCCCATACCCCATCAGAATGGGAATGAAAGTTAATGTAACACCTTCTCTTAGCTCACTCCCCCCATCCCACACTGAAACTAGCACACTGGAGGACTGGAGGTCTCCAGAAGGGTGGTTACTACTATTTTCATGATTCTAGGGGTGACGAGGGTTTCATCCAGTTTCAGAAGCCAAGACCTTTGCCCTTCCAAAGCCTCAGTCTCACCTTTTGATCTTATTCAGATGCGCCTTTCTCTCTAGCCCTAAAAAGAACCAGGCTCCAGTTTGTCTACCGTCCCACATAGCAAATGCTCATGGCCAAAGCGACTCACATCCCTAGAAATTCAAGACTTCAATGATATTCCTTTCCCCTCAAGATTCATTAAGGGACATGGTGCAGTGATAGATGCACCACTCCTCTGCCTATCTGAGCTGGCTCCTTGAAAAGTACAACTATATCTCTACAGGATGGAAAGCTCAAATAAGTTCAATCCTGATAGGAAGCAGTGTCTTAGCCAGATGGGTCAATCCAATGAGATGGATGAGACCAATCACTAGGTAACTGGACTGCTACAAATATAGATCTCTCCATTACTGAGCAGCTGATGCCAGACTGAGAGGGGTATCACTCTGCCCCTGGACATATGCCATTTTGGGCCTTGCCATTGAACTCTTCTCAGGGCACTGCATCTCTACTGTACAAGCTGATCTGCTGTATTCTTTGGATTTGTTCTTCCATGGGCAGATGTAGTCCTTCACTGACCTCCATCACTGGCTAGCTGTGAGGCATTAGTAGTGTTAACAATATTTTTATCTGGAGCTTTCTGCCCTCTTTCAGCTATGTCAATGACCGTTAGACTAGCATTAGCAGAAGTGGGTTTTTTTGTTTTGTATTGTTTGTTTTTTGTTTTTTTGTTTTTTACTCCCTCAGAGCTTCAACTTTGAGATTTATCACCTCCAGGCAGGAGACGGGAAGAGATCTAGCCTCTCCAGTTAAATAATCCTTCCTGGTTCAAAGCCAGTTCCCATAGTAAGATACTCCACCTTGGCTTATGATAATTGGTCTCAATCCAGTTAGTTACACTTCCCAGAGTTCTTCTGGAGTCTTGTGCAGATGAATGGGTAAGGTGAAAGGTCAGAATACAGCCTGTGCTCTAGAGGCAACTTCATCTTCTTTGCTGGTCTTTTCACATAAAAACTGAGCTATTCAAGCCTCAGAAGCTTGAGATAAATAAGATAAAGAAAGCTTTTGAATCTGAACGGCTTCCCCTTTACTTTTCACTCTCTGTCTTTTTACCCTCATTACATAAATAAATATGAACACCTGGTTAGCATGTTTCTTATCACCACCATCATCATCATATCTTAACCACAGAATCTCAGGGTTGGAAGGGAACTCAGAGCCCATTGTCCCCCACTAGTTCAATCAGTACCCCAACAAGAATACCCTCTACAATGAGAGTGGCATGAATACCAGGGGGGATCTCAGTTCTAAAGGCAGTCCATTCTACTTTGCAACAGCACTAATGGTTAAGAAGCTTTTACTTATATTGAGTGTGATATATAATAAGCACTTAACTAATGCTTGTTGGTTGATTGATTGATTTGTTATTACATCTTCCCATTGATCTTATTCATTGAATTATTCTTTCTCAACTGTATCAATTTGTAAGTTCATAAAGCATCTGGTAGGAGTACAGGATCAAGAGTCAGGGCCCCTAAGTCCTAGCATTTGCTCTCTGACAGTGATGCTCTATGCAGGGCTTCTTAAACTTTCCACTAGCAACCCCTTTTGGAGTTTTGGCAGCTGATTGTTGGCACTGCGTATCCTGAGGGCATACATAGTAAAGAGAGTGTACAGGCTTTGTGTTCAGAACCAAGGCTTCAGTGAAGTTGTGGAATGCAGAATAGGTAAGCACTGCCAGAAACACCTCGGATTCATTACCAATTTGATTTTAATTAATTTGGGGTCATTGCATGTTCAGAAACCTTTTACTGTTGTCAAATTTTTCACAACCCACAGTTTAAGAAGGATTGCTGTGTAACCCTGGACAAAACACTCTACTCCATGGACCTCAGTTTCCTCTTAGATAAAATGAGTAAGTTGGGATATATCCAT